AAGACGGCAAACCCTCCGAAAAACCCCTCTCGGCGGTGAGGCGGATTGTTTGCATATGGTAATCCGTTCAGCGTTGGTGAATGCATTGAGGGAGAGGGCAAAGTCCGGGAGGTGAGGACTCCCTGGGAAAAACCACGCAGAGGAGCGTCCGCAAAACCCGCGCATGCATTTGCTGTCACGAGGAAGCTGATGTGATGCAGACACACCCGTACCAAAGTCAATAGCTTACAGATGGTTATCTACTCTCTAGCTGAGTAGTCTGTCTCTGTCTGTCTGTCTGTCTGTCTGTCTGTCGCAAAAAGCGCCCGCTCATCCACCCGAAGACCTCCCCCCTTCAGCCAGTCAGTCAGTATCCGTGTTGGTGCATCTGGTACATGGGTATCTTGGTCATGCCATCGTCCTCCTCCTCCTCCTCCTCCCGACGACCCCATATGCACCTCACAGCGATGAAGATACCCAGCGCCACCAGCGCGCCGCAGAGCAGCGGAATGCCCACCCACGGGCGCACGCTGCCACAGCACACCATGCCGGGGGGGCATGCGTATGGCTGTTTATTGGTTGCCCCTTTCTGTCTCTGAGTGTGTGTGTGTGTGTGTGTCTCCTTTGTTGCTGCGCGCGTACATGACCCATGCGATTGCGATGGTGAGGAGGGAGAGGAAGGTCGCCACCAGACAGTTGGCGGCACACAGCAGACACCCAACCTGACATGTCGATGCGCACACACAGAGGTGGTGAGACAGACGATCGCATCGCATCAAGGACCTTCCTCCTCCATCGATTGGCCAGTGGATGCGTACCATGTCGCCCAGGTAAGGGCCGACACACGGGATGATGTCAGGCACGATGGCCAGTGGCCCGAAGAACATCTGCAGGCCCATCCTGCCAACACAGACAGACAGAGATACATCAAGGGTCCCCGTCTCTTCTGTCTGTCTGTCTGTGATGTGTGACGGACCACATGCACAGGAATCCGAGCAGCCTGAGCATCCACATGAGGAAGGTGTTCTCCTGCTCGGCGTGGTCGAACATGGTCCCGCCAGACACCTTACCCTCCTCGAACAGATTCACCGTATAGTCAGAATCTACGTGGCCACACATGACACAACACAACACACGGATGAAGACATCCGAATGTGTGTGTGTGTGGGTGCGTGTCTGCTCTGTGCCCACCGTATGGTGAAGGCCACGGTTCAAAGGAGCCGTCAGAAGTGAGCTGCGCCACCACCGAGCACGAAGTGGCCGTCGACCCATAGAACTTGACGCGCACATCACCGATCTGCCACACACAATCACACACACACACACACATGAGAGGCACCCAACCCCAGTCAACACAGACAGTTTCCTCCCCTCCAGGCCACCCCACACACACCGACTTGTGGGTTGAATGGGTCGCCTGTCCAGAGCATGTCGTTGTAGAGCTGTGTGTTGGCTGCCGTCACGGTGGGGGGCGGCCGCGTGCTGGACGCCGTGTAGTCTCTGTCCTCCAGCAAGGTCAGCTCCTCCCGACTCGAGAAGCGGTTCGTCTGGTCATACGTCAGCTTGTAGGAGCCTGCACGGAGGTCGGGCGCCACCTGCACACACACAACAGACAGACAGACAGGCAAACACCCTCACATATGAAGGCGCATGTTTGTCGTCTGTTCATCTTGCCTGTCTTGCTTCAGGCAGTGCCGGGAAGGATGGAGGGTTCTTGTAGTCCTTGTTGTAGAAGAAGGTCGAGTCCCGTATGGTCGGCGACCACGACTCGCGGTAGTGGTAGCGCGTGATGGTCTGGGTGCCCCCACCCAGCTTATCCTTCTTGGTCTCGGTCTCCTTCTGCTCCTCCCACTGCACACACACACACACACACACACACACACACACACACAGATACAACGAATGTGCGGACGAGCAGGCGTGACGTGTGTGTGTTGACATACAGACATGGCAGACCCACCCACCTGGTACATTTCCGCATAGATCTCCAGGAAGATGCCAGTGAAGTCGGCGAGGTTCTCCTTGAACTCCGGCAGTGAGAACGTGTGCATGTTCTCCAGATCGCATGACTGGCGGACGGACGGATGGAGCGTTGGACGGAAGGAGGCACACACCCACACCCACACACGCGCATCACAGTCCACGAGTGTGTTGCCTGCCAGTGGCTGTGGTGTGCTTACGATGTGGACGAGTTTGCCCGTGAGAGAATTGTCCACCGGTTGGCACTCAGCCTGATGCAGTCAGTGCACCCCAGCCACAGAAAGAAATGAGGCAGCCAACCAGTGAGTGCATGTAATCACAGCAAACACCTTCCTCGCCCGTCAGTCAGTCATTCATTTCCTGCTTACTGTCGTGTAGGCGTCGCGGCCGTTGTCGAGTGCCATCCACGTCTTGATATACCTACACAGAGAGAGAAACACCATGGCCATCTATCCATCCCTCCACCCCTGTGTCGTGTCCGCTGACTGCGGTGGGTGCGCTAGCTATCATCTGCATGTACCTCTCCTCGTTCCATCCCAGGAGGCCGAAGCTCACGAAGAAGAGGACGATGCCGATGCACAGGCCGACGCATGCATTGCCGAGCCTCTCGAGGAAGGACGAACTCTCCACTTCCACGTTCGGCCCGTAATCGTACTCTCTTTCACCAAACCCGAAGAACTTGCCGATGCCAGCCATACTTTCGATTCCAAAGCCTCTTGAGGCGAAACTAAAGCGAGGAGGGTTGGCGATCTCTTAGCTCGCATGCCTCTCGGGAGCCGCTGCTGCTTTGGTGCTTCGCGGAGGCACAAGCAGCGCTGATCTTCATCCGTCCGTCTCAGATCTCTTCCATTTTCTCGTCGATATTGCTGCGTCACGTCCCGATTGAGGTGGAGCCGAGATGGACACGCCGAGCGTCCAGTTTATCGCTGAGGAGTTCTTGAAGGCCTACTACAGCACCATGAATGAGCGGCCTGAGGAGATATACAAGGTGGGTGGGCCGGAGGGGTCGTGCATGTGTGGACACGCGGTCCGCATCAACAGTTCGACACACGCCATGGGATTCGCTGTCACTCTCTCTCTCTCTCTCTCTCTGTGTGTGTGTGTGTGTGTGTTGGTCAGTTCTACAAGACCGAGTCGACGATGGAGAGGACGGTCGAGAATTCGGGCGGCGACACGCGCACGGCGAGGGGTCAGAAGGAGATCAACGACCTGATCATGTGTGACGGGTTCCTGAAGAGCCACGTCAAGACGACCATCAAGACCTTCAACGCGCAGCACGCCGACTCGCGCCACTCGCGGTACGTCGTCATCAACCTCACGGGCGTCATGTGGTCCAACGACGACAGCCTCGAGGCCAAGCGGTTCGTCCAGATGGTCATCCTCAACAGCAGCGACTTCAACCAGAGCACCTCATGGTACGTCCACAACGACTGGTTCTGCTTCCTCCAGTCCGATGACGACGTCTTCCAAGCCAAGGAGCAGCCCGCCAACGGCCAGCACCCAGCCACCACGCCCAACGAGCCGCAGCCCATCGCCCCGTTGGCCGCACAGCAGGCGCAGCAGCAGGGCAACGACTACGTGAGGCCGCAGGCGCCCGTGCCGGTGCCCCCAACCGAGAAGACCATGGCTGATTTGAACAAGCAGCTGCAGCAGACCAACAACGGGACGGTCGACGTTGGGACGCCCATGGCGGCTGCCCAAGCTGGAGGGGGGCTGCGTCACGTCAATGCTGGTAAGATAGATCTTGGTCACAGAGAAAGAAGGGGAGGACGTCACAGGCACAGGCGATTTGTCCATATCTGTCGGTCGGTGTGTCTGTCCCCCTTACACACTTACCTGTCTGTCTGTCAGATTCTCGTCCCGCGGAGAACAACCATGTGCAGCGTCCGGTGGGTCGCGGTGCGATGGTGACTCCCTCGGGCGGCCCCAACCCGCCCCCTCCCAAGCGCCCCTCGGTGGCCAAGCAGGGGTCCGGCGAGGAGGAGTTCCCGGTCATCCCGCCCGACCCCGAGAGCTGGGCGGGCAAGGTGACAACGGGCATGGGCAAGGTGCCGCCGCCCAAGCAGGTGGGGTACGCCCTGCCGCCCACGTCGAGCGGGGCGGCTGCCGACGACGGTTTGGAGCAGACCAAGGAGGTGTGGATCGAGCGGCTGCCGGGCGGCATGACCCAGGAGGAGGTCAAGAAGGCCATCACGACTCAGCTCAACGGCAAGGGCGTGTGCACCAAGGCCTACCCTGAGGTCAACGGCGGGCTCATAATCGAGCTCGACAAACACGAGACCGTCAAGGCCCTCCTCGAAAAGGGCGTCTTCTTCCAAGGCCGCAGGTTCCGCGCCGTCATGAGGCGCCCGACGGCACCGCCCCCACGCGGAGGGGGGATGGGTGGTCGGGGCGCCATGGGCCCTCGAGGTGGTGGTGGGAGGGGCGGCATGAGGGGCGGTGGCTACCAGGGGGGCGGCGGCGGCATGGACAACGAATACGATGCCAACCGGGGCGGCAGGGGAGGCGGAGGCAGGGGCGGACGAGGAATGAGGGTACGCAACACGCACACCAGACACTACAAGCAAGATCCCCATCCACAGGCCAGACCACTCTCTCTCTCTCTCTCTCTGTGTGTGTGTGTGTGTGTGTGTGCGTCAGGGTCGTGGTGGTTTCCGCGGCAGCGACATGCCGTTCCGTGGCGGTCGTGGCGGCCGGGGCCGCGGCATCCCGCCCATCGGGTTCGGCGAGTTCCCTCCGGGCGGTGTGGACGACGACACGTGGGACGACCCAGAAGACAACAAACGCGGCAATGGCGGCGCCGGCGGCGGCGGCGGGGGCAATGGGGAGGACTGGTGAAGGAAGGCGCCACTGACCAGACGGCCAGCTGCTGCGTAGGGTGTGTGCGTGGAGTGGCTGAGTAATTGTGTGATGGAGTGAGTGACTAACTGTGGACTGACTGTCTTTTAACGATTGATGGTGGCTGGATGGATGGCTGTGTGTGTCGTGCTGTGGTGTGTTGTGGTGTGGCATGGCGTATTGGCGGCCTGGCGTCGCCTGCGATTTTCCATATCTGTCTGCCGAGGAACCAGCACTCACTGACCGAAGGCAGGCGGGCCCGATTGATTGGCCACATCCAGCCTACGTCTTGTGCGCTTATTGTCATGTGGTCAGTGTGAAGGTCGAGGAGGAACCTGAAGCTCTCAGGCTCCCTTTCCGCCTTCACAGTGGCGACGGTGACAGCCGCGCGTGGGACAAGGGCTGCAAGACGTACGTCGGTTTCAAGTGCAGCCAGCCACAGATGTGTGCAGTGAAAGAAGCTTGACACAGTGAATTAAGATCGAAAGGCAGGCGTTCAGGCGTTCAGGTCAGGAAGGAACTGAGACGAACGGTCAGCCAATCGAGTGAATGCATTCCTTCCCTCCCTCTCCCTTGGTTCCTTAATTGCCTACCTACTTTGCTCTCTGGTGCGTTTCGTGCGTGCCGTCCTTTTGCTATGTGCGTGCCGTGCATGTAGTCTCACTCCCGACCGACCGATGTGCATCTCTCTGTATGTATGTGATCAGATCAATGAATGCAATGCTGCATAAATGAATGACCTCAGGCAGGCACCTCTCTACCCCCAGCTTTTCCTGGCCGGGGCCCCGACAAAGCCAGTTTACAGACTGACGGGCTCCTTTGCTCGAGTTATTATGGAGGCTTACGGCGACGTCAACAGTCCTCAGCCACAGCAGCGGCAGCGGCAGCGGCAGCATTGGATCGTCAGACCGAGCCCTCCACCCCATTCCCCTCGCCAACCGTCGCTCAACGCGTTCTTTGGCCAGATGCAGCCTGCCAACCCCGCCCCTCGCCAGATTGACAACATCCGCCACCCGCTGCAGGCTGCCAACGCTCGTCATGTTCCTCCCCGTCCCGCTCACAACCCCACACCTGCTCCCATCCGCAACCCTCGCGTACAGAAGGAAGGCTTCCCCTCCGTTGACGCCAAACTCATCGCTGAGGTCCTCGACAAAGGTGGGCGCTGATGGATGTTTGCAACTCACCACAGGACACATTCAAGGAAGGGGCGATGGGTGGTGCGTTTGGTGAATGTTGTGGTGCAGTTCCTGACGATGCCTTCCCAGAGATAGATTTGCTGCGTTGCCCTCTCGCACTCACAGTCCCAAGAACGCCAGTCATCAGGCCTTCAGGTGACACCCAACACATAACAAGAGGATGGATTCTCACCTAAGGAGCCATCCCATCCTGTGGTCCGTCTGTTCGTGCAGGCAACTGCTATGACCTGTCGCCCCTCCGCAAGCACATCCGTGCCGCCGCCGCCCCACACGCCAAGTCGCCACTGACACAGCAGCCACTGCGAGAGGAGGATCTTCGCCCCAACAGGTTCGCCCTGAACTGCATCGAGAGATGGGCCAAGAAGGTACGTGGGTGTGCAGGGGTGCGCAGGGCTATACGTAGTGCCAGCTGGTGTGTTATAGGTGCTGGAGGAGCAGGCGGCGGCCGTCAACAAGGCGAACAAGGCGAATAAGCGTGTCGGGGCAGCGGTGGCTGCTTCCGCAGCGGCTGGAGGGGCGTCCGCCGGTGCACGCGACGATCTCGACGAGCTCATCATTGAGGAAGGTGCGAAAAGGCAATACCGCAGAAACAGCACACACAGAAGAGTCACGCATGGCGCAAATGTCGGTGCTGTATTTTCCCTTTCAGTTGTGGACGGTGGCGGTAACCGGGGCAGGGATTACCCAAGGGAGATGTGGGAAGCCTACAAAGACACCATCCAGATCGCACACACAGACCTCGAGCCGAAGCGCAAAATCGTCGACGCAGTAAGCCAGGCGATACGCAAGGACAGCGAGGAGGAGCACTGATGCATTGTCGGCTGCATCCCCTTGTTGTGTGTGTCAGTTTCTCCGCGACCCCCAGATGGATGCGTTTCAAGTGCTGGAATGGCACCACTCAGAGCTGACCAACCACACACAGCAACGGGTAAGCAAAGACACACACCGAGCAGCCTTAGATGACAATGCCCCTTGTGTCCCTCTTTTCCTTACCTCCTCTGTCAGTTCCAGAAGGTGCATAAGGTGTTGTCGCGTGCGTTCGCCAGGGAGCTCCTGGAGTGGCTCAACGAGTACGAGGCCAACAAACACAACAGCCGACAGCCCCCCGCTGTCCCCCCTCCTCCACACCATCCAGCCCCCCCTGCCCCTGGCCCGTCACCTCACCCTCCTCGTCTGCTCGACGCCCACAACTTCCAGCTGCCCCGCTCCATCCAGGCCTACGTGGAGAGCTGGTGGGCGCTCATGAGCTTCGAGTCCGACCTGTCTTTCCGGCGGTTCGCACACCGTCTGTCGGAGGCCAACGCACCCAAGTACGTGGTGCATCTGGCCTTCGCTCGTGTAGTCAACGGCTGGGTGCGGGCAGCTAAACTGCAGACCAAAGACGTCACGTCAATCATCAAAGAGGTATGCGATCCCGTGTGCGTGTGATGCGACATGTGGGTGTGTGGGTTGCCCGCCTCTGTCGGTTTCAGTCGTTGAAGAGTGCTCTGGTGCCGTTTGACGTGGCGCGTGCCGTCGAGGTCATCGCATCCGTGTCGGCCCTGGTGGGTGAGGCACGCACTCTGTCGCTCGTGAAGCCCGCTCTGGAGGCCCTCCCGCAGCCCCACATCCGGTCGCTCGCCCAGAGTATGCAGACACACGCCAGCCGCCACAAGAAGATACTCGACGGCGTAAGCTGGACACAGAAATGCTTCCCTCTGCCGCCATGTGAACCGTTGATTGCATTGTTGTGCCACCGGCCGTCAGATTCGCTGCTACGTGCATGTGGATGAGGACGAGATGGCCATCGATGCAGCTGTCCCCAGCGCTGCTGCCGCTGCTGCGGGTGCTGGTGCCCCTGCAGCTCAGCCGGCCGGTCCTCCTCCTCGCCCCAGGCGCCGCATCCTGACGGGCTTCAGCCACACGCTAGTGTGCGACGCCCTGACGGCCGTCTTCACCAGAGTGTTCAACTGAACATACAAAGCATCACGTAAGGCACTCGCTGCAGATGGGAGGGCACTGATCACATGCTCTGTCCTTAAGCATCGCATGGATGTGCTGGTGCGCTGCAGTTGTGTCAGGATGTGTGTGTGGCGGCTGAGCCTTCATTTGTGATGAGCACTACGGGCAGAGACACACAGGCGAGAAGGCAACAAGACAGACAGACAGCCGGACGGACAGACAGACAGAATCGCATACACAGAGAGAAACGAACGTGGCTTCTTTTGTATGCCTCTTGATGTCGTATGCATGCTACATGAACGTATCCATGTTTTGATGAGACACGAGCATGGCAACACTGACGGATTCAACGATTGAGGCTCAGTTACACATCTTGATTGCCATTTCTTGTTTCGTGTCTCTGTCATGTCATGTGGCTCAATCAATGGCTGCCTCAGTGACATCCATCCACCACACAGTCAGTCATGTTTGCTGCGGGCCCTGCACTTGTGCCGGCAGCATCTCGGGCGGGATCACGACACATCTGCTCGCCTAAAGTATGACCTGATCCAGACACATCGCTCTTTCAGCACTACACACAGCTTCGACACTCCCTCAATGCGCCGCCACTCCTTTGCGAAGGTCTTGAAGTGCTCTTTCTTGCTCCGCTGCCACGCCTTCCCCGCGATGCGCGCTGCCAGCCAAATCTGCGTGTTGGTGATGTCGAGGACATAGAGCCGGTACAGAGGGGACTCGCCTTTGAGGGGGGCCATTGACAGAGTGACGAGGCGGGGATTGCCGCTGACGTCCGGCCGGCCTGCTGTCACACAGTAGCCACGCGCATGGTGGGGTTTGGTGGACTGCTCCACCCCTGTGGCGGCCAGTAGGAGTTTCCCCCACGGCTCGTAGAGATTCTCCATGACTTCTTCTGTCTTGTGCGTCTTCAGCTGGGGATTGAAGATCAGGAGAGCCGGGCCGTAGCTGGACGCCAGGCGCTCGTGCATGACCGCATGGGCACTCACACGCCAGTGTAGGTGGCTGGCTAAGTGGGCGTGAACGTCGGCAATGTCGTGCACGTCCGACAAGACGGATGAGTGAAGAAGTAGGTGGCCGTCCAGCAGAGTGAGGGGGGTTGTGCCGTCTCTGTTGTTCATGAAGCGCGACAGCAATCTCCAATGGCGGCAGGTGTTGCAGGGCGCCAGAAGTCCCGTCGAACCGAAACCGGCCGCAACCCGGTTCAGCTCGCCAACGAGATTTCTTGCCGCTTCCACATGTGTGCTGTCCAGAACCTTCTTCATGTTCGCTTCTCCACCTAAGTCTTGATCCCCCGATTCCAATTTCTGAGAACGGAATAGACACAGACAAACAAACAAACACACACAACAAGGCCGATGCATACACTCAGCCAAATCTCTCTCTCTCTCTGTGTGTGTGTGTGTGTGTGTCTGTGTGTTTGGCGGGATGTGTGGCTGTGTGTTTGGCCGTTGCTGACCAGATTCACATAGGTGTAGCCCGTGTTGTCCATCTGCGCAAGTAGCGGGTGTTCGTGGGCAATTGACTGCAAGGAGGCCAGACGGTTGCCGGCGAATCCCGCTTGCTGAAAGTCAGACTCTGTCTTAGTGCATTCTCCCTTGGCCTCTTCAGGCGTGCCCTCGGTGCACCGGGCCGTCTCAATGTGACGCACAGGCTCCTCCGAAGTCGCCATGTAAGAATACTTTCGGACTGACGCTATGGTGTGGCGGCGGCGCTCATGGAACCTCCCTGCGCCATCCACATGCAGTAAGGCTCCATAAGGGTCGCACCAAGTCGCCCGGAGCCTCTCATGAGCGCTGGATCCGTAAAACCATCGTAGGGGGATCCAGTCGGACTCGACGCCATCATAAAGGAACAGCCGGCGTGTCAAATGATCGGCGAACGCCGCGGCCGCGGGGATGAAAGCGATTAGATAGGTTTGTGGCCCGTGGTGGCTGGTGTCGGGCACCTCCATCTTGCGGTCGATACAGGCGTCGTACGACTGGGAAGTGAGCTGGTGAAACACAGCCGCCATTTCTGACAGACCAACAGAATGGCAAACCGAGTGTTCATACTGGTGAGGACCTGCTCTGTTCGTTGCCGTACCTTTGCACTGTTCGTCTGGGTCGGCAGACGTGCCCATCACCGCCGGCATATATGCCTCTACCGACAACCCCAGCCCGGCAGCAAACCACATTTTTTTGCCCGGCCTGATCCGCCCTGACCAGCCACCATACACCGAAGCCAGCTCAGTACGCAGGTACGCCTCCATATCAGCGGGTGAATGGTGGCGCTGCTGCCAGCCGTCCGACCGAAGGACGCGATCGTTGATGTCGGTGAATCGTGGCCGCACCCGCTCGATCCAAGACTTAAGCTCCGGGCAGAACCGTGGCAAATCCGCCGCGAGAGACGACGGAGGTGGGTCAGTGTCCATGTGGACACAGACATCGCCGTCATCGTCCTCATCTGCCATCTGGTGGTCGTCATGGTGGCTGTGCACACCACCCTTCTCATGACTAGCGGACGCGGCAGATGCCGAAGAGCCCGTCGACAGCTTGCCGTTTTTGCCACTGGTCTTGACAGCACCAAGGATGGGAGGGAAAGGGCAACCTCCAGTCGTGTTGGCTCGTGTGGTGGTCATGTTTGTCGACTCCAGGCCGAACGAGATGGGGATGAGGAGAACGCCATAAGGCCGCTCTCCCGCCATAAGGCCGCTATGTTCTGATGTCGGCCAACCTCATCCTGTTGCTTATCCCGTGGAAGATCCCAGCACTCATCGCCACGGCAACCTCTCTCTTCGCACTCATTACACAGAATCAGATCACAAGGTGAGCGGACTGAGGGAGATGCGCCTGCCGTCCTATGATTCATCTATTTGTTTCCATGTCAGCGTTTCCTATGGTGCGTGGACGACGCTCCGCGCTATGCTGGTGAGATACGGGGCAATGCAGCCAGACGGCGACAAGGAGACCAACGCATACGTGGTGGCGGCCGTCGATTGGATCATCTCCCTGCTGGATGTACCGACAGCGGCGAAGAAAGACGACACGGCAGCGGGCACACCAACGTCTGCGAGTTCATCGAACGGCACGAAGAGTCCGCTGAGCCTGCCCTGACAGACGGCCGGTACTTTCGACGTAGTGGTGTGCACGTGTGAATAAGTAGATAAGACACATTGTGTTGATTTGACGCATAGCAACGTTCGATTCTGTCTTGATTAGTATGGATGCAATGTGTATGAGTGATTCTTGTATACAGACAAAGAGGCAATCTCGTAAGAAAGACCGACAAACAAAGAACAATCCACCAGTCAAAGTCAATCAACAGCTGTTTCGCACACAATGGTGCCGCCTGCCGTATTCGGGCAGTGGAGAGTCAAAATCCTGGTGCTGACACTTGTGAGTGTCTGTCTGTCGACGCTGGCGGCTGCTGCATCGCTGCTGTTCGGGCAGACGGTCACACCCATCACCAGCATGCTGCTCAAGATCATCGTTTGGGCTGCAGCCTCGCTGACGTAAAAATTCGATACACACACATCTTCTGTCATGTGTGTCTGTCTCTGTGCAGATCACACGCTCTGGATACCACTGTCGTCCAGCAGCTGGCTGTCGGTGCCTGCCTGGCCCTCTGCAGAGGTGCCATCATCACCACATCCATCACAGGTTCGGATCCATCACTGCTTGTGATTAGTGTCACTTTTGTGTCATTGATGCAGGAGCTGATGCGGTGTCGGTGTTGTTTTGCCTCGTACACACGGCGGCCGTGATCAAGGTACCATGATCACTGACAATGCATCTCGCCGCAGATTTGTGTCATGAATCAGGAGGTCGCTACGACGATCCCGACGCACTGGTCATCGATGTATGACATCGATGACGCGCCATACGCGGCCTCGGTAAGGGAGCGACAGCACTCAAACATGATGTGTGACTGTTGTGTGTTTGGTGTGTGGCTGTTAGCTGCTGGGTCTCGGCCTGTTCGAGCTCGTGGTGGCGTCGCTGCGGCTGTTTGTGTGACTGCCTGAGCAATGGATGGATGGATGGATCAATGGATGGATCAATGGATGGATGGATCAATGGATGGACGGTCACATGGACATACCCTGCTGTGGATGGGTGAATGAATGGCCAGACAGACGGACAGACAGACAGATGGGTGGATGGATGGATGGTGAATGGATGGATGGACAAAAGGATGCATGGATGAGAGGGCGACAGACATACAGACAGACAGACAGACGGACAGAGAGACAGACCGTCACGCTGCCTGCCCTGCTCGAATGACACATGCGGCCATCCCCGCCGTCATGTAAATTGATGCATCTGCCCTCCAATATGATGACAGTTTTCGTTTTCCTGGTCCTCTCGGTGGGCTGCAGTGCAGCGCAAACACGCGTGTTCGAGGTGGAGTACATAGATATCGGCGAGAAACTCGGTGGCTTCGACAAAAAAATGAACTCGCTGGACGTGAGCCGCAAGGATGGCTACGTAATCATAAAGGATGGCGAACTGAAGCTGGTCTCGGAGAATTGGCGTTTGTGTTACTCAGTGACGCCGCCAGTGGACCTGCGGGCCGAAACGTAAGAAGAATGCACCTGCAGAGCCAAAAGATTTTGATGGCATGTGTGTGGTGCAGCGATTACGGGTTGAAAGAGCTGTTTGGTGATTCTGGATACGTCATATTGTCGGTCGGGCAGGAGCTGGAGAAGAAACCAACGCCAAAAAAGGTGTGCGAGAGAAGGGGATGCGCTGCTTCATGGAGTCTGGCAGTGTGTCCGCTTGTTTGACCCAGGTGGTCGCACCCAGGCTCACGCAGAAGATATTGGACCATCGCGACGCTCTCCGTGTGAAGAAGACCATCAACAAGACGGCCAAACAGTCGGCCAAGGCGGGCAAAGGGAAGGGCAAAGGGGAGGACGGCGGGAAGAAGGGCGGCAAGGGCAAGAAGGGCGGCAAGGGCAAAGGAAAGAAGGGCGGCTCAGCGGCTGACGATGAGGTGGAGGAGGAGCAAGACAACAGCGGCAAGCCAGTCACCTTTGCAAATCTGCGGGCAGCTTTGGAGGGAGGCGATCTGAAGGTGCTGCTGACGCCCGAAACAACAGAATTGCTCAAGCAGTACGAGAAGAAAGAGGAGGAGCCCACAGCAGAACTGGCACCACCGGAGGGCAGCATGTGGGCTGAGACCTGGCAGGGCCGGCTGATCCAGATGATCCAGATGATCCCGCTGCCGCCGGGGGTGAAGGAAGGCGACAAGGTGGCCGAGGTCGAAAAGTATCGTGTGGCGAACCCTGCGTGGGCGGAGTGGGTAGATGAGTTGTGGAAGCAGGCCCCGTCCGTATAAAGCTTGGCCGCTCGTAGACGGACACACAGTCGTAGGTACGGATGGACAGTCGTTTAATTAAATGTCTTTAATAACAACAGATCATATCCATGTTTCCGCAGAAGCACAACGACACAACATAGCACGACACACAACATAGACATCTCTCTTCGCAGGGTCCCTGATGTCTAAGGCCCTGCTCGCCCTGCTTCGCCTCACCCGCGGCCGTCGCCGGTGCGAATATGTCGCCTGTGTGGGTGATCGGGCCGTTGATGTCGCTGCACAAGCACCGTACACACAGGCAGGGAGAGCACGTGTCTGAATGTGATGTGCCGATCTGATCAAGCAGACAGACCATGGTGCAGCCAGCGCTCGTGCTGCTCTGGGTGGTCCCCTCACGCCCGTCTGCTTGACGCCAACGACAAAGCCATCGATGCTGAGTCTCTCCAGCTGGCCGGAACAAAACACAACCTCGTGGCTGCCTGCCGTGGGCCCGACTTCGCCACCAGCCAATAGGTTCATGGAAAAGTGCGAGCAACGGGGCTCCTTGTCACACTCTGCCACACGAACGACACACCACGTGGTGTGTGTGTGTGTCTCTGGTGAGTTTTGTCATGACTGACCAGCGGCGGCCTGTGAGAGTGCGGATACGGCCTTCGTCTTGATGATATTAGGCTCGGCACAGATGGCCTGCTCGTTGCGGATGATGCGGTAGGCGCCTGCTGACACATCCACCATCGAGGGCTTCACACCCATCGTCCACCTGACACAAGAGACACGGGTGAGTGTATCTCTGTGATTGTCTGACTGACCCGAACTGTGTGGTGGCTCTTTCGAATCCCCTGTCCTTGCAGATGTACAGCTGCTTCTTCTCTGGATTCCTGCACGTGTGAATGTCTCTGTCTGTCTGTCTGTGTCTGAGTGTTTATCCGGCTGACCAGAGAAAGTAAGTGCAGCTTGGATTCGACACGCACTGCTGCTCAGCACTGACCATGTCAACAATCCCCTGATATTCAACAATCCCCTTTGAGAGACGAGCACAGTGCATTGCCCTCTCCGTCTGCCCACCATTGCCTCCGTGTCGAGAACAACGGCGTCGGGGCATTCGAAGAAGTAGTTGTGGCCGATGAGGTAGTTGAACTGCTGCGTGGCCTCCTGGTTGATCTCGTCTTCCAGCGATGGCGCCAGCCGTGCCTGATTGTGGCGGAGACTGCCGGCAGCCGCCATGGCCACCGCACACAGAGCGACGAGCACCATCTTGAGCGCCATCACGGTTTTGCTTCAGTCACACGTGCGCCGCCCGAGCAATCCTTGAATCGGACTGACAAACACACGTCGCTTATTTGTATGTGTATACGCAGACATGTGGATCGGATCGATGTGTGGGTGTGTCGACAAATTGTGTAATTCAATCTTGACTGAATGAATGAATGTGTTGCGTGAATAATGCAGAGCTTTATACGACATCGATCATGCATGCTGCACGCCTGTCTATAGCTATGTATCGTCACATCGATATCGCGCATCAGCCACAACATGACATGGATCTGCCTGATTTTCCACACTGGACTGGTCTGGCTGGCATTTGATGGCCTAAGGTATGTAGCTGTCCTTCAGGCCTAGACGAGCTGTCTCACAGTCGTGTCCGCCATGGTGGGCAGCTCGTCGCACGGCTCCAGCAACGACGACAGCGACTGCCTGCATCCATCCATCCATCCATCCACACACAGAGCAAGTCAGGAATGGACATCCTCCTGTGTAGTGTGCTCTGCTCTTGTGTGGTCTGTTGCCCCACCCTGCATCAAGCATGAGGTGCGCCCTCTGGAACTCATACAGCACCACGTCAATCGCCTCGCGGTCTCGCATCACACGACTCAAGTCAATCTGACACACACGAAAACACACAGGAACCAGGGACAGACAGAGGGAGGGATCAGAGAGGGCACATGCAGCCCTCCCTCTCTCTCCCGCTGACTCACCTCGGTCTCGAAAGGGTCTTCGACAGGCCAGAAGTGGCTGGCCATGGGCGACCGGATGTGCCACCCCTTCTCGTACTTGGACAGCAGGCGGCCCTCACGAACGCTCACCTGCACACAAAACGTCAACAGCAAGGAAGATGGATGGACCACTGCCCTCCCTCCGTCTGTTTGTCCATCTATATGTCCATACCACGTCCCTCTCCGGATCGAAGAAGTTGGCGTAAAAGTCGAAGAACCGGAGCAGGAGGCTGGCCAACGACACCTCGGGGGCGGACCCCTGCTGCTGCTGGTGGTGGTTGTGGTGGTCCCGCTGCGTGTCGTGTGCGGGTGTGTGGTAGCGGCAGTCGTACCAGCTGCCCTGGTGCCACACGAGTGCGCCAGCGTTGCAGGGCAGCTGCTGGTAAGACGGGATGATGCCCTCACGCTGCAGCACAAACAGCGCCATCAACACGTACGCGTAGCTGCTGAAACCCAAGCCGATCCTGAACGAACAAACCAAGGAAGGAAGGAAGGACACACAAAGGAACAAGGCGATGACTTGACTTAATTAATTATCATCTGGTTTCTCACTCACTTGGGGTTGTTGATGCCCCGCGACTTGGCCCAATGTTTGACCAAGTACACAAATGGGCGCACCTGCACAGCACAGCCACAACCGCGAACATTCACACGATATCTTTAGACACGTCTACGGAAGCACGACTCCGCCTGTCTCTTCGTTGAGTCTTACGATTGGGTGAGCCTGCGCGTAAGTGGCCAGCAGGTCGGTGTTGTGAATGGGGAGGCGGTTCTGTATGCCGATGTCGCCCTCCAACCCGCTCACGGGGTCGACGAACTTGACGATCGGCGCCTTAGTCTTGGCGATCCACGTGACCTACGTATGCACGCCACGCCCGCACGATCCCGCCCACCCACTCATGTGTGGGCGTCCTGTCCTGCCGTCGGTGCCTTGCTTTACTTACGTTCTCATATCCGCCCTGCTCGAGCACTTCAGCGATCCTCTGCACCCTCAACGGCTCTCGTCTCGCCCCCTCCTCATCACTCTCAGCCGCCCCACGCTGCTCGCCATCCTCATCCTTGGCTGGCACGGGCATTGGCAGCGTCGCCACGTCGATCGGCGCCCTCATGTCCAGCTCCAGTGTGCCGTTCTCGAACAGACGTGTGACCTTTGCCATCGCATTCTGGTCACCCATGAGGATCTCGTGGTGGTCGCGGTCTGGCGACTGGCACAGCAGATCGACGTCGGCCTCCCGCCCGCCGAACTGGTTGACCGACGACCCGTACAGCTGCAGAGAGATGTCGGACCAGCCCGCACGACCAGACGACTGAAGCAGTGTCTCCAGCTGCATACACACACATACACACATATACAAAAACACACAGACAGAGAGATCATGTGTCTTCGAAGGTGATAGTGCCTCCCTATGTGTGTGTGGATGGATGGATGGATGGATGGATGGGCCACTCACGCGTTGCCGGAGGTCCTCTCGGACTCTGCTTTCGTCGGCTGGCGGCTCCAGCTGCTCGCGAAACAGCCTGTACATGTCCTGCTCGAGCATGGCCCGCTGCTGGGCGGCCTCCTGGGGTGTGGCGGCCATAGCCTTGCGGCCCCCGAAGGTATGGGATCCCGTGTGCATCGAAGTCAGGTGCCACCAGGGGATCTGCTGGCTGATCCGCAGACGCAACCGCTGCAACGTCTGCAGACACACACCGACAGGCGACACAAGCAAGCAATGAGAGAATGTCCCTGTCAATGTCTTCCACCACCCTTTTGCTGCCTCTTGGCCTGCCTACCTCATAGACGTCTTGGTTGCGTAGGATTCTCCTTTCTGAGACGAACAGGTGGGTGACGGCCCGGTGCGTGTCGCGGAGGGTCTTGATCTTGGCGAAGACGTCGTCCCATATGGGGAGGTACTTGTTGGGTATCCTGGGGTTGGTCAGGGCCTTCTGGCTCAGCTCAAGGATGCTCTCGTCAGCCAACAGGTAACGGTGGAACGGACTGATGTCGGACGCTCTGCACACACACACACACACACACACAGAGGGGGAATCTTTATGCCTGTGTCTGTCCGTGTGTACGTGTCGAGGGATCCGCACCTGTAGTTGAGCAGCTGATGGGCGATTCGCAGCTCGATGGCATTCAAAACACGGGGACCGCGACATCGGGGGAGGTACACGACTGAACACACAGACGACACAAAGTTTGTGGCCCCAGTCCCCATCCCCTCGCTGTCTCGCTGCCCACACTCACCTTCTCTGAGCGTCAGCCGCTGTGCATCTCTGTGGGCCATCTCGGCCTTCGAGCTCTCAGCCCTGTCGTCACTCTCGTCCCCTTCCTGCATATCCTCCTCCTCGTCGAGCTCATCCTCCGTCAAGCCATCGGCGTCATCGCCCTCGCGCGCGCCGTCCTCACGCCGCGCCATGAAAGCCAGGTGGTCCTGCCGCAGCCGGGCGGACAGGTGGTGGTGAAGGTGCAGCAGCATAGTGCCCCACTGCATCATGGACAGCTCCACTGAGCGGGGCATCGGCAGGTCCGCAGGCACCACAGCCCGGCTCTCGGTCCCCATCAGATGCCACTCAGATACGGGTGCCGCTTCTGCTGTGCTGCCCAAGATGCCCGAGAGATCACTGTCGCTGCTGCCTCCCTCCTGCTGCTGCTCCTGCTGCTGCTCGCCTTCGTCACTTTCAACGTCGTCCTCGATGGTCAAAACGCCTTTCATTTCAGGGCAGCATTGGCGGCAGAGGTGCTCCAGCCCCTCGACAGCCTGGTTCCAATCCCACACACCACTGGGGGACGGATCGAACGACACATACTCAGACACAAGGTCGCGTGGCTCTGCTGCCGGTGCCGGCTCCATGAGGCCGCCGAAGGATAGAGGGGGCTGCTGTGGCTGTGGCTGGTTGTTTGCGTTGCGAGCGACGCTTCGTCGGTCCGCCACTTTGGTGGGTAGCATGTTGAGCCTCTGTCCCGCCACAACGGTGTCGAATATGTTGACAATGTAGAGACCCCACTCCCGCTGCAGACTGACAAAAGAGGACGGATGGATGGACAGAGATGCCGACTGGCCGTCTCCGTCTCTCTCTCTGTCTTCCTCTCTCTCCCCCACCGAATGATGATAGGGCTGGCGTTGTGCACTACTTTGGTGACGGCCGGGTCCTCCATGAGGTCCTTCAGCTCGGCCAGGACGCTCTCACGCACATCGTTGGAGCCAGCCAGCAGACAGCCGAGATCCAGCAGCAGGTGCTTCTCCTCACACTTGTCCCCACCATCGCCCCCATTCTTGCCGGCCGTGTGCAAGAAGGACAGGTGCAGCACTGACGTGCTGGGCATCCTGCACACATACACACACACGCACACACACACACACGTAACGATGGAATGGATGATGTCGGCAGCTCAGGCTGGCTCGCTGTTTTGTTGTCTGTGTTTCTTGCCTGGTGAGGCTGGTGGGGTGTGGGTGGAGAGTGACGGCCAGAGCCGACACCCCTGACCTCCGGAAGAGATCCAGCTCCCTCTGCAGCACACTGAAACGAAAAGCGGACGGACAGGTTTGTGAATGATATGGATCCGTCAGCACCGTGTGTCTGCACGCATTCCCTTCTCCCTCACTTACGCGACTGCATCGTCCCGTGGCCATTCCGTCTTGCCCTGAGTGATCCACACTCGACGGCGCCTCGACGACTGGCGCAGAGGCGCGCTCGGTCCTTCGTCGCGAGCTGACGCTTCTTCTTGAAGCGTCGGTGCAAGCCAGCCACCCTGCACCCACACAACACAACACACCCACACATACATTGGCGTCCGCTGCTCTGCATGCTGGTCAGCATTGAGTCAGTCAGTCATTCTCACCCACCTGAAGCAGCCCCTCGCCCCTGTTGCCCTCAATCAGGTTGAGTATGGTCTCCTCGTGTCTGTGCGGCCGCGGGGGGCCGGGAGCCGGCAGCTCAACTATCAGCGGGCGGCGTTTCCTCCCGGTCACAACCACGCCATTCTCAACCTTCTCATCGCCAAAGTCGGGCAGAAACATCCCCAGACCTGATGACGAGCTGCTGCTGCCGCTGGTAAAGCCGCCCGGGCGCCTGCTCCTCGGTGGGCGGTCGTAGGCATCGTAAATGGGTGGAAATGAGGGCGGTGGCGGCAGGTCAGTCTGCTGCGCCAATCGGTCAGCCCAGCCATAGAGGTCCTTCCTCTCGGTGTTCCTCTCGGCCAGCGGCTTGACGGGCGGCAGATTCGCTAGTGTCTGGGGCACGGCGTATGTGTTGTCTGCCTGCTTGTCCCTGTCCTTGTCGCCAAGCCGGCTTAGCAGACGATCGATGGCCGAGGAGGCGCCGTCATCGGCTTCTGAGAGAGGG